GTATGCGACTTAATGGACCGAAACATTCCTATTCAGGTTTTTTAATCCGATTTATCTTATTCACCTCCTTTTATTCCTTTCTTTTCAACCCTTACTTTTTACATAAACATACATCATCTAAAATTAAAATTACAATAGTGGAACCAAAACGTGTCTTTTTTCTTAATCATAACCTCTTCAGACCTTGTCTTTTTCTTAATCTCATAACCTCTCCAGATCTCTTTCTTCATTTTTCTTTCCGTGCAATTCAGTTTAGCTATAGCATACTGCATTTAAGTAATTGAAAGTAAAAGCTTGCTGATTTCTTGGGTGCACGGAAGCTTATTGCAGAACTATTCCAGGAGGACATTTAGGATATATACAGCGCTTCTCCGGAGAAATGAGAGTGGGCTGTAGTGGAAGGGAATTCATTAGCCAAAAAGGAATGTTGTTTACGTGCTTGTAACTGCCTGACCTTGTTAGGGCACAAAATTATTAATATATAATAATAAACACTTAAGCGTGTAGAATCATTATTCACATCACGGAGAGCTGCATTCTCGGCCAGTAACACCAGCAACATCGGAGCTGCACGCCAAAATTCCGATCGATCCTGACACTCTTAGTTATCATTTTAGCATGACATTTATCCGATGGCATTTAAACACAACTAAAAGAAAAACAAGCCGAACTTCGAACAATTATAGTTGTTTTTCCAGATGTTCTTTAAACTACTAAAAACGAGAGTAATGCATAAAAAAGTGGTAGATGAGAATGAGCATCTGGTGCGATTCATTAAGCTGCCTATATAAGTGTTAGCTCCCCCTTCTTCCAGTGTACAACCAAAAAATTATTTAAAAGATAAGCAATTCTTTTGAAAGAATTCATTTAGTATTATTTCAAGAAGAAACGAATATACTCCGTTGGCAAGGCGCAACGGTACTTGGCGCTACTTTTATACCCAAGGTTGACGGTTCGATCCCACACTGGAACAACCAGTCTCATTCTCTTTGACGGTAAATTGGTAATGCCATGTCCCAAGAAGTCGATTTTCAGTTAACGGTTCGGGGATGGAGAAGACGATAATCCTACCAGCGGGTAGTTGTTTTTGGGATATTCCGCTAATCAGGCTCCTTTGAGTGTCTCAGCCACACACACAGGTAGTCAGTATGGAAGTTTTTTTACTTCTTGACTTCCCTAATCTTTTAACTAAAACTCAGTAACTGCCAACGACTGATAAAATTTACGTTGTCGCCTTCGTGATACTCCTACTGGTGCAGTAATCCGTCTTTGCGAAAAATATCCTGGACATGAGCAAGATAAAAAAAGCTAATACGTCAACAATAATCAAATAAAATCAGCAAAACCTCAGTTAGCATTTTCCACTTAAAGACTGACAATAAATGCGTATATCCGAGAAAGTTCTCAAGAGCGGTAGGAGCACTGCCAATAATTTAATGATTATCCGAGCAACGGCACTACATCATGCAGTTTCAGCCGAGCCGAGTTTTAGTTATTGCCTTATTCTTGATTGTGCGATCGTAAACAATGATTGGAAGTCATGAATCCAGACTGAATGGATCTAGCCTCAACTCATACTCAAAAAAACAGCTCAGTATTTGTTTGCGATGAATGTAGAAAATGAATCCGTCTAGTCAAATTCCTCACATTTTGTTTCGCTTTATGATTTGGACTCGCGAATTTGGTGCATTTTAACAACTGCAAATGAAGGCAGCAGCACATGTCATAAGCAGCATTTCGAGATCCATCTGAAATAACGAACGCAAAAATTTCTAAAGCATCGAAAATGAGCTAACAGAGAAAGTAAGTATGCAGGAAAACACCATCCATCACAGATTCCGAAAAGCTTGGAGGAATGGCTACGCATATTATGCGTTTTTGCATATGCAAATGCAAAAACGCATATTGTGACGACCCCTGTGTGTGAATGTGAGTGTCTGTCCGTCTGACCGGGTGTTTTAACTCAGCGACCAGGCAAGCCCCGGCGCCAAGATTTTGCCGAGGGATTCGCCGGCCAACTGCCACCACAGGATCGCGGTACCAATCTTTACGTGCGTTTGGGCACCGCGTACAACCACATGAAAGTTTTGGCGGGAAAATCGCTAATCGGAAACAGAAAAGCTGGGAGGCTGAAATTTTCAGCGGATTTTCCCCGCCAATGTGGAACTCAAAGACGCCAAATTCAGCTTTCAGGCATGAATGGTTCTCATGCATGGCCTCGTGAAAATTTTTGACGGGGAAAACACTAACTCGGGAACTAGGAAAGCTGGAGAGGTCTTTTTGAATTCTCATCAGGAACTTTTTCGATCTCTTCCCGAATTCTTATCAAGAATTTTTTCGATTCAAAAGTATATTACTCACATAAAGATCTTGTACATGTGGGATAGTAGGCATACTATGCGGAAATTGGCATTGTTCTCCAGGTCTCCCTTCTTCGGCAGCAATATAATTTTTTATCTCTTCTACTCTGCCGATATCACATCTTCTTTCAGATACCAGATGTATCGTGCACTATGTGTTTTTGCTCCCGCTTTACCTCCAGCTTTTAGTTCTTCAACACGGACTTGACCCAGACCCGCTGCCTTACTCCGCTTCATGGAGTTTTAATTTACTTTTCTTTGTAGTGCTGTGCTAGTTTATTTTTTCTTTATTGCTGCCTGCAGTTCTTGCGTCGAACTCCTGAGTAGTACCCCTATTCCCCTCCCCTATCCTGTCCCAAATTCTTGCCTCCAAAGGCGCATCGGGGTACTTATCACCCACCACTCCCTACCACTATCGCCATTCATCGTCCTTTACATCTGACCAGCACCTTCATCTCTCCCCTACCCCTATTATCCCGGCCCTAGCTTTGTCCTCCAAACTTTATCTGAGTACCTACCAACAGCCCCGACTGCACCCAATTCCCCTACCCACTACCCCCCTCCCTCCCCAACCACGCAATCCAGCCGCCAAACTCCGGGTAGCGCTACCCAGCGTATTTGGCAATGTGCCAAGCTGTCCCAGTAGTGGCGTCGTGAGATAGTATAGGCAGAGATGCTAGAGTATTTTCCAAACACCATCGATCAGCAGCCGAGCCGAGCCGAAGTTCAGTAACTGTCGTTCCCGAGCGATGAGGTTATTCTGGCAGTTTGCCTCTGGGCCCATCTTTCGCAATCTTGGGGGAGTTTTGCTGCGTCCGGTTCCACGTTTGCTTTCGGCTTGGTTATCTCGTCGAAATAGTGATAAAAATGGGAAGTATAGAAGTCCAGGTCAACAGAATCCTCCGGGCGATCAGTATGAATACCACTTGTTATTAGTGATGTTACTGGGATGTTTCCACATGCCGAGAGCAACTGCGCCGGGCTTTCCGATCCTGAGCTGCATAGCTTCGGTTGGGAGTTGGCGTTTTTGCCTTTTACTGTTTATGGATGCTGTAAATGAGCATATTTTAGCGTGGCACTGAGTGGGTGCCCGGAGAAATGTCCGATTCGTCGTCTTCTTCGGACGAAGATGAACGGGTGCAGGAGGAAAAACACGAAAACGAGGAAATCGATGAGGCGACAACGTTCGAAAAACTGGTAAGTGGATTTTGGACCGAAAAAAAACTTAATACCTTCTTAGGGCGCTTTCTGGCGATCAAGAAATCCCCCTACCCCACTCCCCCGCTCCCCTAATTCTGAGGCTTTGTACAGCCAAAGTCCGGCTGGAATTGAAATTTTCGAAGAAACGGCTGAATTTAGTGAGATTTTTGGGGATCAGGCTTGGTATTTTCATATAGGGTCTCATTCTGGCGATCAGCAAATCCCTCTCCCCTAACTTTGAGACTTTCTGCGGGCGAAGTCCGGCTGGAATTGAAATTTTCGAAGGAACGGCTGAATTTTGTGAGATTTTCGGGGATCAGGCATATTTTCACTTTCCTGACAAACACCAACAATTCCCGTCACTTCTTGTCTTTCTTTACTTATCGGATTGTTCGTTTTAAAATTCACGATTTTTCCGATCGAGTTATAAATCATGAGTTTCTGTCGGTCGAATTATAAATCGTGAGTTATAAATCATGAGTTTCGGTTGAGTTATAAATCATGAGTTTCAGTAACACGGATTTACTTCTCCGTATTATCTTTTTTAAATGTCTTCGGCACATGACACTTAAGATTTTGCCTCTTACAGATAAATAGCACAGTTTATTTTGACCCCCTATATATTTTAGTATCCTTTTTAGTATTTTAGTATTTATTACTGGCACTTGCGAAGAAATAAGTAACCACTTGGACGTCTTCGAGTAAGATTGGCGACTTACGTGGCCGTATTTCACCAGTTACTTCTCACCGGGCTGTGATATAGCTGTAACGTACGTAGCGCATAGTGCATGCTATAATTTTTTTTTTGTTTCCTGCAACTACGATTTTTGTCAATCCCAAACAGATATCCGGCTAATGACAAACGCCAGCGAACTATTTCGCATGATTTTTGGCGTCTTATGCCCATATTTATGCAAAAATCTTGAACAGCCCCTAAATAATGAATTTAGAATGGTGCTTTGGGCCGGATGAGTGACCTCGGCGATTAGATTCAGGCGTTTTTTTTTATTCTGTCTATAACGAATTTTTGTTTTACAGGGTGTTGTAGAGGTTTTATGTGAAGCATGCAGTCGTTTGGATTGGAAATCACCAACCAAGGTGCAGTGTGCCGCTTTGCCGCATGCACTCAAAGGCCGCGATATAATTGGTCTTGCTGAGACAGGGTGATTCTTTTTCTTTTGCCTACTCAACTTCAAATAATTGGCCAATGCACGGGCTGGCCGTGCGAGGATACGTTTTTTGTACAGCTCCGTGCAGATTTTTGTCGCTAACAGCACTGGTTTTTTCGGCAGATGCTTCTAGCTAAAAGAATTTCAGACTGGCCGCCAGGACAGTCAGGAAACATCCCTTCAAAATTCCAATCTTCTAGCTCCGCCGGCTCCCGAGTTAACAGTTTATTCGAAAAAAATTTTACGGGCCCGTACGTGGGTACCACGCTTACTTGGGGGCTGGGTTTGAGCACATTAATACCCACTTGGACGGGGAACATTCCCTTAAGATTTCAGCTTTCTAGCTTCTCAGATCCCCGAGTTATCAACTTACCCGGAAAAAAATTTCATGGACCCGTACATGGGTACCACGCTTACCAGGGGCTGGGTTTGTGCTCATTAACATATACTTGGATGGGGAACATCCCCTCAAAATTTCTGCTTTCCGACTACAGACGAACACACAGACACACGCGCAATCACACACATAGATACACATACAGACACATACACACAGGCGACCCCTCGTTAATATACATTTTCTGCATTGCATAGCTGCAAAAAACGCATAAAAACTGCTAACATCCGAGAAGAGTCATTTCCTTTGAAAGTAGATTTGTTGAACTCTTTTATATTTTTAGGTGCCCATTTTATTTTTCTTCCATTTTCTCTTTACTGAGGAATAAAACAGTAATTGTAGCAGTACAGGATAGATAGAGAAATTGGGGGAAAAGTGCTGAATTTTAAATAGAAAAATATTTTAATTTTGAAAGACAACAAAGCAAATAATATTAAGAAATTAGTAAAAGTTGAAAAATCTTGTAAAATATATAATAATAAATTGTAATGGTAAGAAATGTTTCGGTCTATTAAGTCGTATATACATTTCTTACCTGAATTTTAAAATCAGCAGGTATGAATACGGAAAAAATAATGTAGCAATGGTGCATATTTGTTGTTTTGGATGGATCGGCATTGATAAAATTAATAGCTTAGTGCTTGGGTCAGCTGTAATTCCTAGTCTGCTTCTGTAAATGACAACTTTTCCAGTTGCTTTGACCAGTGCTGCATTGGCTTTTGGTCGCTCTTTTGGCAGTTTTGAATTTTATTTTATGATTTTTTGACAGAATTTCGAGCTCTGCGCTTCCCCAGAGGTTTTTCCCGCTAAAAAGATAGGTCTTTTGTTAGTGCTAAACATCAGCATCGCGATCTCTTTCGTCTTCAGCCTCTCTGAGAAGCTAAGCCACTCGGGAAGCATGCAACCGCAAGTAATATTTGTGAAAAAACCTAGAATTTACGAAGAATGATGCTTGTAAGGAAACTGGATTTGTTATTGTACTAATTAGATTATCGAAAGTAATGCATAAGAATTAGTTTTGATAGCCCCATTCTCCGGGTAGCTCTGGGCAATAAGCACCATGCGTGGTACCATATCACGTACGCTGCGCACGTGACGTGACTTTTGACCGAACCTGTACAAGGTTAGAGAAAAATAAATAGCAACGCGCACTAGACTAGCCTTTGCGATCATGCGTTTTATGCAATTCAGCGCATCGGACGATTGCCTATTAATGACTTTCACTGCTTTGTACTTTAGTCTATGCAAAAATAGTTCAAACATTG